TGGTATAGGTTCATAACTACTGACACACACACACAGTAGAGGACTATACCTTGCTGACTAGCCTCAAGGAGTGCTTCCTGCAGTGAGGTCTTGTTTCCCTCAGATACTCTTAACTCCTGCTGCAACGATTCCACATAATTTTGTAGTTTTACTTCTCTCTCTGTAGGGTATACTATAAACTGATCTTGCCACCATTGTCTCTTCTTTAATAATAACTGATACTTGTCTTGATAGGCCTCAGTAGTCAGACCAGTAGAATCTAGTACTTCACTTACTCTCCATTCACCTTCTCTTAAAACTAATACAAACATGAACGAGGAATAATTCATGTATGTACATGTACATGTAAACATGATGTAATCCTGTTACTAATAATAGAACACAATACATGTAGCATTAGAGGGTAAAATACTATATAAATGTTATGCATTAATTGTAGATTTATTGACAAATTAGAAACAAAAAAAAACTTTTTAAGGGACAATTGCTAAAATAAAGTGCCAGCCAAATGGCACCAATACACTGCACTATACACAGAATATAGTTATTTGGTTATGTCATCAATCATTGCAGTTTATTATAACAATAATACCATACTCGCCCCAATTAAAGCATCTCTTGATCTCAGGTGGTGCATTGTTTAGATAGGAACAGTTATAAAATGTTCCAGGAGGTGCTTGTTTAGAGAGGTGCTTAGCTAAGTATGTAAGAAACTTCTAAACAATGGGACTTTCTAAATACAATGCACCTCTCAAAAATAATTATCTTGACCAGGAGATGCACTCAATAGAAAGTTTTCGGAAGCCATGTAGAGGTGCAATAATTAGGAGGGTGTGTTAACTGGGACGAGTATGGTAGTGGAATAAGCAAAGATGTCATCAAAGTTTAACTAAAGTTAAAAAACAAAGTTTAAAAAAAGTTTTAACAAAGTTTAACTTTTTTGTATTGTTGTCAATACAGTATAATATGCTGTACAATACAAAAATAGTTCAGTTCTTACCTAGTTCTATTAACATTGTGATATTAGGATCAGTGATATAGTCACCAAATGGTTCTTTGTACCCTCTTCCTACATCTTTCCATTTAGTTGCTCCAGACCCACCCACTACCACCAACCACACACAGTCTGGACTCATCATTAGTGATGATAAGGAATGAGACTCTCTACCAGTAACAGATTCAGGTAGAACAATCTGTTGAAATGGTAATATTTTATCAAGAAAAAAGTATTAACAAGTAATAAAGCAATTTTACATACACAAATTATATACACATGCTGCATATGTACAATGAGTAATATTTTGACACCCACATAATTTGCAAAACCAAATAACCTACAAAATTAGGCTGTATTTACACAGAAAAAATTTTCACTTTAAAATCCATTTTTGTTTATCTATGTTAATGCAAGCATAAAAGAGAAACATAGTGAGCACGGTTCTGTTACTGCATGTCAATAACCTTATACCATATAAACCCATCCCAAGGCTAATTATCGTAATCAGTACTCACTAATTGCACCATATGTATTCTATAGCCATTCATAATGGACGGCAAAAGATACTTGCGATGTATGTGCTCAATGCTAATCTAATGCTTTCCAGCTTTCAGACTGATGAAAAACAAATTTAAAAGAAGCTCTAAAAAGGAATATATAAGTTCCAAATTTGTAGTGTGAGCTACATGTAGATATAGATGAGGCTTTATCTACCACATTACTGAATCTTCGTGTTTATTTCACTAGAACTCTATATATCACTCTTAGTAGCTGGTAAACATTGGTTTCTCTGTTTTGCAACGGTTAGGAGGAATTAGGCTTGCTTTAAGCAATGAAATTCTCCATACTCATTCAGATTCTACCATCTTGCTGTCCAGTGGGTGTGACACTTGCCTTATGAATATCATTATCAACCGATAAATATTACTTTGAAAGTATTTTTCTGGCATATATGGTACAATTAGTGCTCGTGATAATTAGCTTGGGATGGGTCAATACTGATTTATTTTTGCAGTGAAATATTTTTGCAAATTTCACATTTTTGCAATGTCTCAAAAATTTTATACTGCAAAATTCCACATTTCCATTGCCAAGTGGCACCTCGTGCAAACTCTTCACAAAAAGTAATTCCACAAAATCGTAAAAATGCAAGATTTGCAAAAGTGTAAAAATAAACCA